GCCGATAGGGTTGGCATCCGGATTATATGTAGTAATAATATATTATTTTATATTAAAAGAAAATTAAATTAACGAGGCCATTCTGGAGTCTAAGATGGCAGCCATCGGGGTCAGGCAAAGTCTCAAATACCATACAATACGGATATTTTCGGAACGGAGATGACGCGAAGGTGCCGAAAATCGATATTCAACGTTATTTTGGAATCCAAAATGGTGGCCATCGGGTTTCAGACAAAGTGTCAAATACCCTATAATAGGGTATTTTCAGAACGGGGATGCCGCGTAGATGCTAAAAATCGATATCCGACGCCATTTTGGAATTTAAGATAGTGGCCATTGGTTTTATGAAGTGTCAAATACTCTAAGATATGGGTATTTTCGGAACCAATATGGCGGCCATCAGGATTCAGAAAGTGTCAACTATCCTACAATATAAGTATTTTCGGAACGGGGACGACGCGTAGATGCCGACAATCGATATTCGGCGCCATTTTGGAATCCAAGATGGTGGACATCAAGTTTCATAAAACGTGTCAAATACTCTAAGATATGGGTATTTTCGGGACGGAGTCAACGCGTGGCTACCGAAAATCGATGTCAGATACCACTTTGGAATCCAATATGGCGACCATCAGGGTCCAGAGAGTGTCAAATACCCTACAATATGGGTATTTTCGAAATGCGGACAACGTGTGAATGCCGAAAATCGATATCCAATGCCATTTTGGAATCTAATATGGCGGTCATCGGGTTTCACAAAAAGTGTCAAATACCCTAAGATCTGGGTACTTTCGGAACGAGGACGACGCGTAGAAGCTGAAAATCGATATTCGATGCCATTTGTAGGCTATTTGACACTTCTTCTGAAACCGGAAGCAACCATCTTGACACAGTGATCGGTATTTGACAGTATTTCACAGTTTTGCTAAACCAAAGCCGCCATATTGGATTTCGAGCGTGACATCAATTTTCGGCATCTACGTCTCATCCCAATTCTGAAAATAACCATATTTTAGGATATTTGACACTTTTCTGCAAATCGGAAACCACCGTCTTGGATTACAAAATGGCGTCGGACATCAATTTCCGGCTTCTAGACGTCACCCTGATTCTAAAAAAAAACCTTGTGTACACACTAAGATTATTTCCCCGAAATCTGTGAAATTTTACCAAAATCTCAACAGCTGAACATTCGGTAAACAATTCAGTGATTTTTCACAGATTTCCTGTAATTTTTCATCGAATATCTGTGAACAATTACAGGAAATCTGTGAAAAATCACCGAACTGTTTACCGAACGTTCAGCTGTTGAGATTTCGGTAAAATTTCACAGATTTCGGTTAAATAATCTAAGAGTATATGGGTATTTCATAGAATTTACAAGTTTTTCTCAAACCGGAAGCCGCCATCATCGATTTCAAAATGGCGTCGGATATTGATTTCCAATCTCCAGGCGTCACCCCGATTTCAAAAATACCCATATTGATGCATTTCCCATTTTTTTTCTGAAATAGAAAGCCGACATATTGGATTTAAAAATGGCGTCGGATATCGATTTCCGGCTTCAACTGTGTTACCTGATTTATAACGAATATACAATTGCCATGTTAAATTAGATGAACTATACGTTGTATTCGGGGTACTCGTATACAACGTATATTCGTTATACGTCAGGTAACACAGTAGACGCCATCCCGATTCCAAAAATACCTCTATTGATGGGTATTTGACAGCATTTCCCACTTAATCTGAAATCGGAAGCCGCCATCATGGATTTCGAAATGTCGTCGCATATAAATTAACGATCTCTAGACGACACCCCGATTAAAAAAATACCCATATTGATCCGACAATGATAAATTTGACATCTTTGACAAAACTGCACGAATTTGGATCGAACAGCTTCGCTTCAATGCAAAAGTAAGTTCATTTGACAATGGACGAATGCACCGATGGATTTGAGTTCACTCACTCGAGTAAAAGTGACACAAGCTGCGGGCAATGTTTACTACTCATGAACACTAAATGTTCATGTATAATGAATAATGAACATTTAGTGTTCATGATTAGTAAACATTGCTCGCAGCTTGTGTCACTTTTTCTCGAGTGAGTGAACTCAAATTCATCGGTGCACTCGTCCGTGAAAGAAGAAATGAAGACTAGTCAAGCCAAAACAAACAGCATGAAAACTGATTGAAAGTGGTTCTGTTGATGTTGACGGGGATCTGCTCGAAGAGAAGACAGAATGACTTTCGATTGAAAGTGATGGTTGACAGCTTCATCGTCGCTTGACGATTTTCGATTGAAAGTGACTTTGTGGGGCCCTGTTCGCAGTATCAAAGGAGCTTGTAAAATCAATATCAAGCATGATATGTTGCTCCAATATCACGCGTTATATTGAGAGCGTATGAGAGTGGAAAAATATCAATTTGCTAATGATTATTCCATAACTGTCTAGCACACTAAGTTGAGAGCACGCAATAAGCTTTAAATGCGAAGAAGAAGAAGAACAAGAAATAAGTTTTGAGGAAAATTTATAGAAAGATCTATATAGGGGGGAAATGGTTCTAATGTTGGCCTATGGATCTAAGATTGGCTCCATAGCTAAAAATCTGCTGTTTATCAATTTTATCTAGATGAACGCGTCATTGGGACGGTACTAATGGATATTTTTGGTCGCTATTGAAAATTTAGTCGGTTGCTAAATTTATGCATGGGCCCAAATTAGGGGCATTCCGGCCGACATTACATCCATTTCCCCTATATACATGTAGGGTTCCAAATCTGCTTTCAAGTCATGTCTAATAAATTTGGCCATCAAGAGGATCGCCCAATTTCAAAACATTGAATTGTTCATTTTGGAGTTAAATTTCCAATCCATTTATTTTGTTATTAATATATTACTGAATGGACCAGTAAAAATAATCTCGTAGTTCTACCACAACAATGCGGTCGTGCTTTGGACACAACCGTTAACTTTGTTTTTTTTTTTTATGACGAAAAATTATGTTTTTGAGAAAAATCATTTTTAAATCTTCACATATTTTTTCAGTGTTTGAGTGATATGTTTTAATGATTTTACAATTTCTTATGAAAGATCACATAATTCTCTACAAACCACTCTTGGACTACATTTTTGAAGGTCTTATAATTTTTTAGTTAGCCCATTGCAAATGCATTTTGAAGGTTTTATACGGGGAGTCCTCCCCCTTCAAATCAACTAAAAAAAAAGAAATTTATTTTCTGTTAGAGCTAATGCGTAATTTAAACCAATAATATGTAGATCTAGCCATCTAGTTTTATTTACGGTGAATAATTTTAAACGCTAACATCTGGCCCTTTGCTCAATGAGCTGGATTACCAAGGTGAAGTAGTCGTTTTCATTGTGTGGCCAGGATCAGACCGACAAAGACGTTCTGAGTGCCAATGTTGGAAATGCCGTAAGAGCTCCGTTTCTGCTGGCGAAGTTCAGGGAACGTCGTTAAAGTTCAGGGAAAGTTGTAGAACTTCAAAGAACTTCATAGATCAATAAATGTCGTTTAAGTTCAGGAAACTTTCTTGAAGTGTGGTTAAATTATTTTGAAGAAACTAATTGAACTTTAAAAAAGTTAAGAAAACTTTGTTAAAGTTTAATGAATTGTATAGAAGTTCAGCTAAATTTGTAGAAATTCAGCGAACTCCGTAGAAGTGCTAAGAACTGTATATAATATATAAGTTCAGTGAATTTTGTAAAGGTTCAGCGATCTTTCTAAAGCCGTTAAAAAAATACAAGGAATTTCGTTGAAGATCATGGATTTCGTAAAACTTCAGGGAATCGTTGAAGTTCAGGAAACTTGGTAGATATTCCGGAAGCTTCGTAGAGCTTCAAAAAACATAGTAGAAATCCAGGGAACTTAAAAAAATGCCCACGACTGAAAGTCTCGAAAGAATATTGAAAACTCACAGTTCGAAAAAGTATTCTGTTCAATATGATGCACATAAATAGTGCGGCACATATCAAATAAGTTTACATTTTATATCATGTAAAGTTCTGACACATTTCATGCAGTGTAGCAAATATTGTATACAAAAGCCCATCATTGTAAACAACATTATTTACAAGTTGCTCGGTTGCATGAAATGAAATACAAGTTTACGAGAATGAATGTTTACATCACAATTAAAATTCAGAATTTCTATCGCGAAGAAGTAGAATATTTGTACAAGTCTAGTAAGCTTCATACAAGTTCAGGGAACATTATTTAATTCCACGAAACCTCACAAATGTTCAGAGATCTTTTTTGAGTTCAGTGTATTTCGTTACATTCAAACGTATTACAGTCAATTCTCCATATCTCGTTTCTATATGTCGATGACTACCAAACGGTCTAGTAGGTTATTCTTGTTCTATGTCTCGATCGCTCCATATCTCGATGGTCCCTTCAATATCGAGATATGTAGAGTTGACTGTAGTACTACTTCAGGGAAATGCAAGTTCAATTAACTTCGTGGAACTACAGGAAATAATATCAGCACAAATAGTAGAAGTACAGTGAACTTTGTAGCAGTTTGACCGCCCGCGGATGCTGCTCCGTTATTTTCAGAAGCTGTAATTACACAGAGAACCAATAGACGGTCCGTCCTTGGGACTAGCACTCATCCACAATGTGTCAAACTGGTGATCTCAAATTATACAATGCCAGCCGCGTCCGAATGCAGGTCAAGAAATGATTAAGTAGGAATGTGTTGATGTAACACTCGCTTTGATGGAAACCGAGCAGTCGTAAAGCAGCCGGCTTTGACAGTTCGTTTGGCTCAAAACCAGCCAGTTCGCTACTTTCCTACACTACACCCTCTGTACTAAAAAGTAACTTGCTATCACAGCAGCCCTGCCTTAATTCGTCATTGTCTGACGTCTCCATTGCCAACACCTGTTGTCTTATCGCTCCAACCACGTGATGATAATGATTACAAGGTAACGCAACAAAATATGGACAAACAAGACGCTCTAGACCACTCACCATCTCTTCGCCGATTTCTGTTTGTGACCGTCGAGGTAGTGGTGTTCATAAATGCAGTCGCCTCATCCTCCGTGGCAAAGTTGAAAGCCACGATACCCTCCTGTTTGTTATGAAAGAAAAGAAGAAGAAGAAGAAAAAAATGCAACCGAATTAATCTCCATCCTTTCGAATAGGTACACCGGAGTATCTTTCTTACCTCGCCCTCGAACACAATCAGAAACGGCCTCGGCTTGGTGGCCTCGATCTTGTCGTACAGTTCCTGTTCCCACACGAGCCGGTTGGCTTTCAGGCAGTAGAGGCGGAAAAAGTACGACTTGCGGATGTTGTCCTTGATGAAGCACAGCGCACCGGTCCATTTCTTCACCCAGGAAGCGTGCGCCGGCGATTGCGTCATGTAAAGCTGCACCACTGCAGTGCACTGGGTCTATTCGTCGTGTGTGTGTGTGGGCAGGCCGCCAGATCAAATGGAAATAAAAGCAGAAATAAAAGGAAGAAGTCAATTACATGATGCGCTGCGATATAATACTACTGTGATGATCATGATTTGGCACGAAGCGATGAAAGTGAAACTGGAGCGAGTCGAAAGGAAGTGGGCATCCACATTCGACGGAGGGGGAGAGATATGTGCATTATTCAACGGAAAGTCGCTGATAACTCTCGGAAGAGTCGGAAAATGTAACCGGTGGTCATTTTCGGACCAATTGGTGCCAGCGGTGGTGGTGATGTCACAAAAGTCCATGTGTGATGCCGCGCCGCATGCTGGTTAATTGGCACAAGTGCCGTGAACGATTCATCATGGGGATGTAAGCTGCAATCATCGCGAGCAAACCGCTGGTTCCTTTTTTGGTCTAATTATTGGAGAAACACATGCAGTCGGTCCAACGTAATCAAGGTTTATGTAAAAACTATTAATTTTGCTGATTGACCTGCCTTGTCACGTGGTCTGATTGATTGGGTGGTTGAATGATCAATGCAGGGCTGTGGAGTCGGAGTTGGACGCATCGAGGTCGAAGAAAAAACACCGAGTCCGACTCCGACTGCTATAAACAAAAATTGATCCTAATTTGGTCCACGTGCAAGTTTTTTAGCTGACCGATTCGATTGAATTTGAATGCCTATCACGAAAAGTAATAGGGTAAATGTCGGCTTCGGCACCCATTGACTGTTTTCGGCAACCAAAATTTAAACGTTAATTTCACTATGTTTTCCCATCAACACACTTCCCTGAATGCATCCAAACGATTCTTTAGTCTTTCAGCTTCAATCTGATTGTATGTGTACGTCTGAGCAGTCCTGTTATGGCAGATTTTTATTCAAATGAAGCATACGTACTCTAAAATGGGGTTGATTTCAAGTTGCCGATAATAGAACAGCTGGTTAACACGCAGTTCTAATGGGAAGGTTGCCGAAGAAAACGAGGCTGCCGACAATAGTCACACTCACCTGAGAAGTTTGTAGCGTTGTAAAAACGCTTTCAAACAGTTTTGAAGAATTCTGTCGATTAAAATGGATAGAGAAGCAAGCAGCAGATGAATGTAAACCAACAGACACGTCATATATGTGCGTGACGCTGAGAAAATGCTAATAGAAGTGTGGACACTGCTTAGATTGACGAGAATACGTAAATTCCCCTATGATCCGTCTAAGACCTGCTATGCTATACTGATGATTTTGATCTAATAAGTAAAACTAATTACTAAACTTTTTTTTCCAAATGAACACGGTTTATACGGTTTGAATCAGCTATCTTGAAAAAAGGCTAGATGCAGATTTCAAAATTTTGGATTGCTAGATATGGGCTTATATTTTTCGAATGAAGTTGTTGGAATCGTAGTGTGCTGTGCTCGAAGAGAGACATGGAAAATTTTCAGCCGTCAATTTTTGCTCCGTTTTTTCTCGACTTTTGTGAAGTTGTAATTAGTGTTCCTTCGGCTATTTGTTCTATTTGCCACCCGAGAGTTCTTCAACCACTGATCATCTCGGGACCTAGCACCAACAGCCAGCCTTATTGGTTGTTCTTTCCCGCTCTTTGTGTTCCTTACAAGTGGATCAGATTCTCCGCCCAGCAGCCTGAATCCATTCAACCACAATAATTGTGCTTTTATCATCTGGCCGATCAACTGATTGGCCATACAGGATTTTTAGTTCGCTTGTCCGATACTAAGAATAGGCAAACCTATTTTCGATCCCAATCAACCAACCCTTGAGTATGGAGATCACTGTAACAAGACATCGTTCATGGATCGATTTGGTGAGTCCGTTCAAATTTATTCTGGTACCGTAAAACGGGGTATCTTTGATAATGCGGATAACTTTGATAGTATAATATAAAGATTAAATTTACTCGCTGTGCTTTTTCCAAATAAGAAACATTGGTTCCATATTGTAGCTTAGGATATTTCCATTGATATGGTATATACAGGGTGGCCACTGAATGTATGAAATTAAATTTCTGGATGGGGGCGACCCCGGCGTAGTGGTTAACATCTTTACCTCTCACGCCAAAGTCACGAGTTCAAATCTCACCTCCGGACAAGTCACGAATGACCCAAGAGTGTTAAAGTGATTATAATCATAAAAAAAAATAAAAAAAAAAATCTGGATTTTTTCAAAAAATCCAACGAATACCAGCATGATTTTTTTTTCCATTAGAGTGATTTTGGGAGAATACTTTTCGAAATTCTAAATGGCAAACCACGAGATTTCCGAAGATTGTTCCAAGCGAATTATAAAGAAACTTAAGGACAGGAATTGAAACAAATTCTCGCGAGAATGGTACAGAATACGAAGAGAAATGTATAGTGAATTTCCAGAGTTTTCTGGAGGGAATTCCTAAAATATTCTGCGCAGAATTCCTGACTGTTATCAAGAAAGTAAAAGTAATTTTAAAGACATTTTGGAATAATCCTAAGGAAATCCTATAGAGATTTGCAAAGAAATAATTTAGTGCATTCAAATATTGAAAACATTTATGATTCCCGACACAGAAATTCAAGATCCAGGACTAACAAACATTTCCAAGATTTTAAGACGTCGATTGCGAGCAAATTTCAAGATTCTGGTCTTAAAAAAGTGTTCAAGATTATGAAACTAAGAATTTCAGGTGTAACAGTGTATGTCAAATTAGGGAAAATCCTCTATGGACGTGCATTCAATATCCCAGAAATGGAGTAATTTTCTTGAATCTGTGGCACGAACAGTTTCAAGGTTCTAAAATTAACAATACAATTAAAAATGACAGACTTTTTTTTTATCTCAGGCTTAATTTTTGATATCTTGTAATGTAGAAAAGTAAAAAATTCCGGCCTTGAAAAAATATTGAAGATTCTAAGAAAAATCATTGGATTTCTACTATCTAATCGGACTGAATTCGGTTAATTATTTTAAGATGTTCGAATTCCCGGTTTTCCCGAATCAGTGGCCACCCTGTATATAGTTTTTAAATAGTATATGTTACATATTTTACAAAAATATCAATAAACCATTTTCGTGTTTTTCGCCTTTTTGAAAAAGCACTCAAACCATCACATATGAAATGTATTTCCGATACAGCCATCACAAATTCAATGTTGTATTCTTATTGCTTATGAAGTTTCCTGATTATATACTCATTCAAAGTTTCATATTTAAAGAACTAAATTGTTTGAGATTCACTAAATTTTTTTCTACATTCATCGAGTTGGCTAACCCCAAATCAAAATACTGAAGTTCGGTCACAAATGTAAAAAAATAGTGCAATGCTTTAATTTTTGTTCAACATATGACTAACGAATTAACTCTTGGATCCTCAGTACTTGTTTTAAAAATATAAAATTTGAAAAACAGTCATTGCTTTAAAAAATATTTAGAATATACTTTAAAAAACTATCAATGTTACCCCGTTTTACGGTACTAACAATGCGTTCTGTTGCAGAATTCATACAGACATATGATATGGGTGAGAAAAGATATGGTGAAAGTCCCTGCGCTTGGACCCAGTGGCGTCGCGTCCACATGTGCATTAGACTGATGCAAAATTTGAAATTTTCGCTCCACAGTGTTTAAATGGTTCCAAATTGGGTCCTGCTTAGCCTCCCAAAATTTAAACTACTTTTGTTAGAAACTGACTTGGCACAAACCATTTCAAGTTTATATGGGAATTACTATGAGAAAACTTATGTTTTTGTTGATATTTATCTAACAATTCACCACATCACTATGCTTTTAAAAATAATATCAGTGATTGTAATAAATTCTCTCAGCTACAACTTTGTTCAAAACCACTTTTCAATCAAATGTAAGGAACAAAAGTTATTAACGATTCAAGTCACTGATGTCTTATGATAATGCTCATTCAACTGTTCATCAGGCAACATTGGTGTTTCTGGTGCGAAGAATAGAGCACAAATATCATGGCTACTATGTCACACTGCAGAATACTGTGTTGCCTACAAAACAGCTGCTTGATCATGCCATAAGATTATCAATCTCTTAAACAATTAATAACAATTTAATTTGACATTTGGCTGAAAAACGATATTCCGCAAAGTTGTAGCTTAGAAAATTTATAGAAATTTTCGAAAAAGCAATATGGAAAATGGGAAGAAGCCAATGAACAAAAAGTTTGGTTTTCCCATAGTAATTTCCATACAAATTTTGAATAGTTTATGCCAAGTCAGTTTCTAACCAAATGAGTTTAAATTTTGGGAGGCTAATCAAGACCTGATTTGAAACCGTTTGAGCACTGTGGAGCGATAATTTCAAATTTTGCATCAGTCTAATGTGCATCCTGTGCACGACACCAAAAATGCGTTTAGATTTTTATAGATATCATAGCCACATTATACCTGTACTTCTTTACTCCAGACCACAAGTGACAATCAATACACTATTATACAGTGTGGCTCAATTGAATTTCCGACCTTGGCTTGCTTCAAAAAGGATTAAAGTCAGTTCGGATGGTCTGCCCTAATGCATTGATTTCTAAGCATGTCGATATCACTACCATGACAAAACTCGTTAAATAGTGCACCTAAAAGCGAGCTTTTTGTGTGGCGGGTGGCAAGTTTGTGAATGGTCAAATGCCTGATGTAAGCCAAGCAGACCTTCTATAACCTCTTGAAATATACCACAAATTTTCCACAATACATGGCGGTTTGCACTACTAGTTGTAATTGAAACTTTCAGCAGTAACACGTCAAACGGGAACAACACGGAAACAGCAGTCTGGTACGCTTTGGACGTGTATCATCCTTGAAAACCGGTATGAATGTGTGAGTTTAAATTAGAAGAACATTACATATTGTTGGTTTGTTTACAAAAGCTGGTATGCCCTTTTCACATGTTGTTCTTGAGTTTGTGATGGATGGGTGCCTAAAGTGTGCATTTCTCGCTGTGCACTTGGATATCTGATTGCAGGCAAAGAGAGTAATGGAGAAAGAGAGC